CGTTGTACATTTGCTGTTATGTTAAACTTATATTAAAGTTTTTCTTCATTACCCATTCAAGCCGTCTCCAGCCATTATTAGTCTCAAAGTGGGTTCCTCGTCATCGAATACAAAGTATATATATACAAAAATGTCACAAATACTGCAAATACATCCCACTAATTGATTCTGTGGTCCTCGTGTACTTCACTCAGACAGTGAGTTACTTCAACCAACTTGTTTTGGTCATTTCTTTACACTGTTTGTTGTAACAGGCAAAAATTGCTCAACAAATATAAAGAGGATTAAAATACAACAGATTAAAAAACTACAGGATACTCGAATCCCACTTAAAACGTACAAGAAATAGATATATGAGAATAGTTCAAATACCCCCCCCCCCTCTAAATTAACATAATTCTATTGCTCAATAGTCATCCTTGTGATTTTCTAAGGGCTCTTCACTCGAAAGACATACACGAGAAATTCTAACGTTTTTTTCTATTATTTTTTATTAATTCTGCTTGGAATGAAGATAATGACGAAGCAGTAAGGGAACATCTCGAGTAAGAAAATACATTTTACTTCATTAGAAAGTTTTGTTGGCTTAACGTGAAGAATGTCCTTTAAAAAAACTTGAGCTCGCGCGGCCCACTATCTTGCGGTTCGTATAGCTTTTGAAAACGAGATGAAGCTCGTGATTAAACGCATTTTAAATCATCCTGTCTGTCCCGTATGATGGGTGAGAAAGTAGATAAAACTTATTAGGGAATTCACCACATTTTATATATATTTCATGCCGCGTGTAGCAAAGGATTGCATTGGTAGTACAAACTGTGAGTCAACCGTAACCGCTATTAATTAAATATTTCATAATTACGGTCAAAACAAACAGACAAACATTTTAAATAAGTAATACAGCGAAATGATTATTAACGTACGCAAGTGCGTCGCAAGAAACGCGATGAACGAAAAGATAACACGCTTCAGGTCAATTACATTAATAATATTCAATCATTTTAGAAGCCCTCGTTCGGAAAGAGCCTCCTTCACCAGACGCCATCATATTGACTGCTGTTCAATGGTAATCGACGTCACACATATTTTTAATTTAAATAAAATAAAGTAATGGGGCCTATATCGGCTGATTTACAATGTATAAAATGGTTTATTTTATTGCAATAATTATACATGTGATATATATTAAAAAGTAGACAGTTATCTCCAAGTGAAATGGAACTTTTACAAAACGGCTTTAACTTTGTAGTTGCTCCAAAACAGTTACAATTATAAAATTACTAACAGAACCAGAAGACGTAACTAGAAAGTTTTCCAACCGAGAACGACTGAAAACTAATTTAACTACAGAAAAAAGTTAATAATTCAGTTGATACTGTATCTTCTGAAAATGTTGATGATTTTCTTAAGAACCTCAGTTTAAAGTATTTTTCCTTTACTTTCTAAACAATCACCTTAACTTAAAATTGTTTCAAACTTTCTCTTTAAACGTCACTAAACTTATTGATCAGCCTCGAGTTTTGAAACCTAACCAAAAATCTGAAAAATTAAAACCTTACTATCTTAAAGAATTTGTTTTGTTTGTAATTAAGCACAAAGCTACACAATGGGCTATCTGTGCTCCGCCCACCACGGGTATCGAAACCCGGATTCTAGCGTTGTAAGTCCGCAAGACATACCGCTGTGCCACTGGGGGGCATCTTAAAGAAAAAAATGACGAATTTTTCTTTTTTTATTATTAAAAATCAGATAAGGGAAATTTTATTACAATTATGAATCGTTTTAATTATCCCAGTAAGTTGGACATTATTTCAAATGCTTTGGTTGACTTTATTAAATTAGATACTAATTTAACTTCTACGCAAGAAAGAAAATTTACAACTTTATTATTACTGTTAAATAGGTCTGCTCAAGTTTCTAATTAATTTTAATTTTCACAACCTTCAGATTTTCGTACCCCTAAATTTATGATTTTTCAAAGAGCCACAGTTTCTAGCAGTGTAAGTCCGCAGACATACCGCTGTGCGACTGGGAGGCAGAGCCATAAAATGAATATTCTGATAAAATTCCACTGTTTTCGCTTATAAAGCTTGCAATTATATTATTGAAAAACTCTTAGCTTATGTCACAAAGGCTTCTTTTATAAACAATCCAGGAACTTTTGTCATAAAATTAAAGGATTTCAATTCTTGTGTTTTTTATGGTTAGTGTTGATGTAAAAACAAAACAAAAAACCTTTTCTCATATGTGCCGGTTGAGAAAACGATTAGCACGTTACCAGAATGACTCCAATCCCAGATACTGTTTAAACACTGCTGTCATCAAATAATTCTTACATATTTCAGCAACTCGTTCACATTTCATCACGACCAAATCTAATGTCAAAGTATGGGAAATGCAGTTTCCACTTTTCTACACCTTCCTTCAGTTTTCTACATTAAATATGTGGATGATATTTTCACGACTTTTAAAGATTAAAATTGCATTGACAGTTTTCTTTCAAATTTGAATATTATTCATTCCAACATAATGTTCACAGTCTAAAATGCAGTTGATCGTAAGAGTTTATTTTTTAAAGTTTCAGTTGGGGAGGGGGGGGGGTAGAGAGACAATGAATTCTCGACCTCTGTTTTTCATGAGACTAAGGAGTTTACTTCTAGTGGAGTTCCTTCTATGATACTAAAAAATAAAGTAATAAGGAACATAAAAACCTTGCCTTACAGGTAAAACTATTTGTTCCTTTCAACAAGATTTCTCGCTGAGGAAAATTTAAAAAAAAAGCGTCCTTCCAAAATGTTAAATGAAACTTATGATGTTACATAACCTGAACGAAATGTAGTATTAAAAATATAAGTTTAAACATGTTTATTTGTTTATCCGTAAATAAATAAAAATTTAGTTACACAAGTTCTTTTATATTTTACAAACATATTTAGTTGCCAATGGTATTCAGCATGCACGTAATATCTAAAAATGCTTTTCTCTTAACTGTCGTCTGCGTTCGTCACCTGTACCATATTAAAATACTCATTGCTAAAGATAGTTTGATAATAGTTAGGAAAAAACGTCCTTTACACTGGAGATAAGATAACTTTATTTTAACCGACGTTTCACTTTTGCGGCTTCTTGTTGAAGTTAAGTAACCCTAACGAAATGAAGTGTTAAAAAAATATAATTTGAAACATATTTACTTGTTTATCCGTAAATAAATAAAAAACTTTGTTTCCCAAGTGCTGAGGAAGCCGCAATGGCAAAATGTCGGTTAAAATAAAAGTTATCTTATCTGAAGTGTAATGGTCGTTTTTTCTGTATTATTAAAATGTGCAAATCCCTTTAGTACGCACTATAAATTTTGAAAGATTGCTAAAGACAGACGAAATGTTTAACTGGTTATTCTAAATTTTTACTTATTTGTAACATCGTCCATTTTAACTTATAGTTATAGAAATGAAAAGCATATGGATATATATATATCAGTTTAAGTTTTATTTTTAAGCCCAAGCTTGTATTTGGCTATTTAAAATAAAACATTTATTATTGAATTTATTATTTTACTTATTTTGAATAGTACAAGTAATCGATCGATCTTATTCTACTTGCAAAATATTAAAATAAGCTTAAATAATTTCGCAGTACCTTTAAATGGTCATTAAAAAATTTATTATGCGTTGAAAATGTCTCTTAAATTAAAATCGTAAAAATGTTAGGCCTAAAATTAGGCTTACTTACAAAGTTTCGAAGAATAAAATTAATAGGCCTAATAATAAAAATATAACATAATATCAATAGTGAAAACACTAAGTGCAATACTACTTTAACGCAAAATATGAGTACCAACAACCATGTTAATCAGGATCAATACTTGAACGTAGATCATCATTCCTAAGCAAACTCGTTGCGATGAAATGAGTCTACTTTCTTCGATTATCAATAGTTGCTTGAATTTTGAAAAGGCCCCATACTCGTTAGTTGGCCATTTTGCTGTTTTCTCACTTACATAATTTCAGCTGTAATTGAAATGATATTAATAGCTTTAAGATTTTTAATACATCTTGATGATAAAAATTTCTAGTTTTTTTATTAATCCTTAAAATTTCAAAAATCAAAATATCTAAAAAAGAGCTCAGCAACGTTTAGGTTACACGAATTGATGAAACGACAAACATCTACTGGTAGTATTAGTATTACTAAGATAGTAACACTAACAGTACCAGCTGATTTCAGAAAACGAACTTTTGAAGACTAAGGCGAGAGATAGAGCAACAATTAACAATTAACGTATTTTTATAAAAATGTAAAGCATAATAAAATCTTTAAAATTTGACAAATCCGTTATATATTTCTGTT